AAGCAGTGTTGCATCATAGCTAGACAGATCACATCTCAGGGCAAGGCCCACCCTAGCTACTTTCCAGTTGTCTGACCCTGGCTAAATAAACTCTCAGCTTCAGCTTCATTTTTTTTTTTCTTTATTTTATTTTATTTTATTTTATTTTATTGAGATGGGGTCTCGCTATGTTTCCCAGGCTGGCCTCAAACTCCCAACCTCAAGTGATCCTCCTGCCTTGGCCTTCCACAGTGCTGGGATTACAGATGTGAGCCAACACACCTGGGCAGCTTCACTTATCTTAAATGGAGATCACAGCTCTTCCATCAGGTCATGGAAAGATTAACTCAAGTCCTATCAGGATTCAGCTCATCTCCTGCGTAAAACATAGGAAAGTCGACGTATTAACTTTCCACGGGATCTCCCTGTTCTCACCCTCATGCACTCTACAGCTCTGGCCAAAGCCTTCTGCAGGTTATGATTGTTTTTTCTTAGATCTCAACCAGGGTTTCTCCTTCATCCTTTCAAGGTAAAGGGCTACAGTAGCCATCTTACAACCACACTCACACATTTAAATCCTTCCATTCCTTTCAAGGCCCAGGAAAAACTTAAATCCTCTCAAGCCCAACACAAACACTACCTCCTCCATGAAGCCCCCTAATTCCTTCAGGTCAATGTTTCTCAGCCCTGGCTATTCCCAGTCATGGAGGGAATTTTTTAAAAAATTAAACAAAATTCTCCGAAGCCTGGGCCTTAGCCATGCTGTTGGTCTGAGGTGTGGCCCAAGCATCAGGGAAGGAAGTGACCTCTCCTTGCACTGAGACCCCACAACACTTCACCAGCCCTTTCCTTGCAGCACTTTGTACAGGATGGTGGAAAAGTTATTGCAGTTTTTACTATTAAAAGTAATGGTCAAAACCACAGCTACTTTGGCACCAACCTAATACCTCATTTTAATCATATACAAATGCATTTAAACTATAAAGTTCTGGAAAACAGGATCAGTGTTTGATTTATATATCGCCCTCAAGTTATCACAAGAACAGTAACTTGAATTGCTAGGCTGCCAGCTATCTCCTGAATGCACAGGTAAATAAATAACATTTCAGTGCCCCTGGAATATAGGATTCAAATTCATGATTTGAAACAAAAGTATTTATCAGTACCCGAATAAATAAATAATCTTCCATTTCAACAGCTCAGCTGTTACGTGCTACTTATATGACTCAGCCAATGCATAAGAGAAAAAATAATTAATTCCAGAAAGAGACACAACATCACTAAAATAAAGCTAGTACAGGGCTAAACACTTCAGTGCTCCCTCCCTTCCCACCTCCTACCATTCTAAAACACTTAGAGTTCTCTAAATAGATCAAGCACCCTTCTTCCTCCATGCTTGGAATATACACTGCAATCTTCAACCACATTCCTCAACTGGCTCTTACTTCTCATTCTGGAAACACCTTCTACGATGGAAAGCCTTCCCTTAGGTGAAAGTCCTGGCTCAGTATTCCTCTTCTGTATTCCTTTAGTGTTTGCTAATATTACTCATATCACAGCAACTGTCAAAAATAAATTACTGGCCAAGTGCCATGACTCACAACTATAATCTGAGCTCTTTGGGAGGCCAAGACAGGAGAGGCACTGAGGAGTTTGAGACCACCCTGGACATCATAGTGAAATCTCATCTCTACCAGAAAAAAAAAAAAAAAACTTAAAAATTTGTGAGGCATGGTGGCATGAGCCTATAGGCCTAGCTACTCAGGAGGCTGAGACAGGAAAATCACTTCAGCACGGGAGTTTGAAGTTACAACGAGATACGATCGCACCACTGCACTCCAGCTTAGTAAACAGAGCGAGGCCCTGTCTCTATAAAATAAATTATTGTTTGGCTTATCTAGTCACGTACAAGTTTCTTAGGGGTGGGGAGGCTCTCATCACTGTAACTATATCGTCTTATATAACATATGGTACTCATGGGCTGGGCGCGGTGGCTTGCGCCTGTAATCCCCACACTTTGGGAGGCCCAGGCAGGTGGATCACCTGAGGTCAGGGGTTCAAGACAAGCCTGGACAACATGGTGAAACTCCATCTCTACTGAAAATACAAAAAATTTGCCGGGCAAGATTGCACTATTGCACTCTAGCTGAGCAACAAGATGACACTCTGTCTCAAAAAAAAAAAAAAAAAAGAAAAGAAAAACCATAACCTATAGTACTCAGGAAGTGTTCAATAAATGCTGAAGGAATGAATGAATGAGGAAAAAGGCTTCAGTTTGTTCATCTGTACAAACGAATAAGTTGGTATCTAAGGTCTTTCCCCTTCATGTTCTATTAAAATGAAGGATCAATGTATAATACTTGGATTCATGTGTGGTGTAGAATAGAATAATTTCTTTTTTCTTTTTTTTTTTTTTTTGGTAGACAGGGTCTCACTCTATTGCCCAGGCTACAGTGCAGTAGTGTGATCATGGCACAATGCAGCCTCAACCTCCAGGGCTAAAGCAATCCTCCCACCTCAGCCTCCCAAGTAGCTGGGACTACAGGCACATGCCACTACACCCAGCTAATTTTTGTATTTTTTGTGTAGAGATGAGGTTTTGCTATGATGTATTTTTTGTATAGATGGGGTTTTGCCATGTTGCCCAGGCTAGTCTCAAACTCCTGGGCTCAAGCAATCCATTTACCTCAGCCTCCGAAAGTGCTGGGATTACAGGTGTGAGCCACCATGCCCAGCTGAATAATTTCTAAATAATACCATAAATTACTACTACTATACAAATTTTACTTTATACATCATTTTGATATTTAAGCTTAAGGACAGAAAATTGTTGTTACACTGTTTATGATTAGAGAAATTTCTCTTCACAAAGCATTAAGTGGTCATTGACAACCCTAATTTTAATAGAAGGTAATAAATGATCTTACATAAAGAACTACAGGTAGTCAGTAACTTTCGATAAACGAATACTAAAGAAATTTTTATGTTTTGATGCCTAAATGGTACCTCCTACTTTACAGATATTCGCTAAGAAAAATTTCAACCCAGAATAGAATGCATATTAAAGGACATATGTGTAAGGTCCATTCTTCTGCTTCTGGCCCAATTCTACTTACAATCTCAAATAGAGTTTGTTTTGTTTTGTTTTGTTTTACGTAATCTCTGCAGTGAAGATGTGCAAAAGTGAGATGTAGCTTCAGAATGATTATCTTCTTTTAGTTTCTCCAGGTAATGATGTCCAACACATTGGTAAACCATTTTAAATAAAATAATGAGGTATTTTTGTGAAGATTTGGCTCAGAATTAACCGGGAAGCTATCACTTTCCTAACTGCAACCATTGCTCGTACTAACGGAGGACTAAGCTACCCAAACTATTTAAACTATACATATTTATTTGGAAAAGTTTTATTTGATTACAACAAAGTTGAGTCATTTAGATATACCATATACATTAATGATTAAATTCCTTGATAATTAGGTAGAAACAATTGTATATAGTTATTCCAACTTTACTCTCAAAAGCAAAATATAAATAACATAATCCTTTCTATTTTTAAACAAGCCAAAATAATCTTCAAGTTTTTCCTTTTCACTCTGATAGCATTCTCTATCAGCAACTTGCATTAATGTTGCAGCTTTAAGGTGCCGCATATCATTTCATATCACCAGCACACAACAGTGTATCAAGAGAAATCAGCTCTGAATCTTACTCTGTAACAATGTGCAATTGCCTTGGTCTTGGATCCTTTAAGAAATACCAAAGGGAAAACTCAAAAAAGTCTTTTCAATAAACCCGAGGGTAGATTTGCTCAACGACCTGGCCAACCAGGAAGTAACAGAAGTTTTGCTATCCTGTTGAAAAAAAAACAAAAAAACAAAAACAAAATCACAGACATGAGATTGTCAAGAAGTCAGGGAGGAGACTTAAAGGTATCTTAATGAAAGTATTTTCTCTTCAGTGCCTTTTAAAAAATGTCACTGCATCAGGATTAATAAGAATATCTGGATGCAAGGACACCAGGTTGCAAGTACACTAAAGAATGGTAAGGTCAGAGAAGTGTTTCCTGCCTTTAAAGTTCCTGAAAATAGAGGCTAGGCGTGGTGGCTCACACCTGTAATCCCAGCACTTTGGGAGGTTGAGGCAGGCGAATCACAAGGTCAGGAGTTCGAGACCAGCCTGACCAACATGGTGAAACCCCGTATCTACTAAAAATACAGAAATTAGCTCGGCAAGGTAGCGCGCGCCTGTAATCCCAGCTATTCGGGAGGCTGAGGCAGGAGAATAGCTTGAACCCGGGACGCGGAGGTTGCAGTGAGTCCGAGATCCTGCCACTGCACTCCAGCCTGGGCGACGGAGAGTGACTCCATCTCAAAAAAATAAATAAATAAATAAATAAAAGGGAAAAAAAATTCCTGAAAATATAAAGTTGCTTAGATATACAACAAGTTTATCATTTTAAAACCAAATACACTAAAGCAGATGAGTACACAACCGTGACCAAGCGGTTGGGAGAAAGATGGATTTTAATGCAAAGTTGTTTTGTTTTTACGCATAAGGTACTCCTCGCTGTGTTCGAGTGCGGAAAGGTGGGGTTCTTCCTAAGGTTGATTACATAAAGCAAGATTCCAAAAACAAGAAAAGTGCTTTGCAAACACAGTAACTAGAACTGGCTGAAGCTTCCAGCGTCCAGTCCCATGCTCAAAGATCAGAAAAAGCAACTTTATCCACCACTTTAATAAAATGATTCAAAAAAGTTGAAGTCTTCTGAAGAAAGCCATGGTTGAAAACTTGCTCCGCTTCTTGGAGAACGCCTAAAGCCCTAACGGGCTCAAATTATTCTCCAAAGTCCACAGCCCAAGCTGCATTTTACGCATTTATTAGACTACAAAACCACGGGGACTCTTCACTCAAAAGCAAAAACACATCCGGAAAGAGGAAAAAATCCATGGCCAATGTAACCCCCTAACCACACGAACCGCCCACGTCCTACCCCAGGCTGCAACGAGGTCGGCACTCACCCACCGCTCGCCTGGGAAACCCAGACCCAGGTATTTCAAAATCAGAAGCACGGCAGGCTCGTTGGCTCTCACGGGCAAGAATCTTAAACCCCAACTTCAGAGATACCCGTGCACGCTGGGCGCTGCCATTTTGACAGAAAGCGGGCCTTGCCCCGGAGGCCCCTAAGCAGGTCGCCCTGAGCAGAGCCGGAGTGCCACGGAACCCCTGTCTCATCACCTCCACACCCAGACGTCGCATCCCCCGGCCCAAGGAATGCCAATAAATCCCACCCTGCCGACCATGATCGGGCGAAGTTAAGTCACCCTTGAAATCCCGCAAGGTCTCTCAGGCAGAGCCGAGGGCGGCCGCCGCCAGCGTGGGCGGGGCATCGGCTGTCAGGGGCGGGGCGTCGACGCGGCGGCCTTCGGTAACCCGGGCAACGCGGCCTTCTAAAGGTACAAAGGGGCGCTGCGCCCCGAAACACAAATGTCTCCGCCAAAACCCCAGACGGTTCGCAAAGGCTCTCCGTGATGCAACTGCACGTCCCTCGAATGCCCGGACCTCCAATATCCGTCCCCCAGGAGCTTGGCTGGATGCACGGGCGGCCGGGCCTCTTATTTTCTCGCCCTCCGGCCGCGTGGAGCGGCTGCTGGATCCCGAGCCTCCCGGCGGGGGCGGAGGCGGGAGCGGGGCGGGGCGGAGGCGGGAGCGGGGCGGGGCGGAGGCATCTCCCTCCCTGCACCGCCCCTTTAGCTGCCCCGAGCCCTGCCTTCGCCCGCCCCCGAAGTGGCGCGGGACGCCCGGCGCGGTCTGCGGTCCACAGGGCTGCCGGCTTAGGCTTAGGACCAGCCCGCTGGCAAGGTCGAGCCGCTGCATTTTATTTCGTGCGTGGTTTCTGCACAGGCTGGAGTTCCGAGGTTGGGTCGTACTTGGGACCTCGGCGAAGAGGACCCGTTAATTTTTTTTCTTTCCAAAATGGCAGCCTCCAGTCGCGCACAAGTGTTAGATCTGTACCGGGCGATGCTGAGAGAGAGCAAGCGTTTCAGCTCCTACAATTACAGGTGACCCAGCGGGCACCGGGGACCTGGGGCCAGGGGCCGGGGACCGGGGATGTGGGTTGCCGCGGAATGTCCCCGGGAACTGGGAGCCACTGTCCTGCGCCGGCGTCCGCGAGGCAAGGACCGGGCTCCGCCATCGAAAAGCGTGGTCCTACCTACAGGTGTGGCCTCTGTGACCTCGGGGAGGAGCCCTTGTTTCTATCAGGGAAGACGTTCATGTCCTGTGACGCTTTCCCCCTAACGACTATCTTGGTAGTTGTTCTAGGAGCATGATTAGTGTTATGTTTCTGCAGAAGAGAAGAAAAGGATGGAAATCAGCCATTGGTGAAGTTAAGGCCAATGTGTTGCATATGTAAAACTTCCCTTGAGCTGGAAGAGTTGAGAGTGGAAGTGGCCAGTGAGTTGCACACAGCGACAAAGCTGAAGGCACACTCTAGCACCTCCCTAAAATTTCCTGGGTGTCGAATGAGTTCTTTTGGTTGCAAGAATCAAATCCATTCTATTTAGGGTACGGTGGAAACGTGTAGCGGTAAAGGAAAAAGCGTCTCAAGCTTTAGAGCTGAAACAGTTTATCCTGGCTCACCAGACAGAGATCCCGTTTCCTGGACCTTGACAGCAGAATACTGAGGGCCTAAACTCTTACATCGTTAATATAACACATTCACTTTTTCCCACGCCTCCCCACTTCCCTATTTGCCTATGAGTCTTTTATTGTTACTCTTTGTATGTTTTTTGTAATTCAGAACCTCTGCTTTCACAGTGTTGCTGGTTGTGACCCATCATTTTCTTATGGATTCTCTCTGCATTTTTTTTAGGTTTGTTTTTTGTTTTGTTTTGTTTTTACTAACTACCTGCTCCTCTCCGAGTTTGAGCCATATTCCCATGAGAAAGAATCTGATTGGATCAACTCATCTCTTTACCCCAAGGCCCCCTTAGGTGACTGGCCAGACTGTGGATTGGATGTCATAAGAGCAGAGCCTACCCTTGGAACACACCTGGTTAGGTAGGCCGCGCTCCACCAGGTGTGTGAGCTGGCAGGCCCTGAGATGGGTCTGCCCAGTACAACTTCGGTCGGAGGACAGGAACACTAAGCCTCTTAAGCAATGATTCTCAAATTTTTAGAAACCTGCCTAGAAAATGTACTCACCCTGCAAATTTGAAAACAGCATCTGTGTCATGCCACTGAGGTTGTATCCACCCAGTTAAGTGGTTAAATTTCATGGGAGAGAATGATTTTACTTAATGACTTTGACTCTGGAGGATAAAGAGTGTAATAATAGGCATACTGGTGGAACTTTAGCAAGAATTAACCAAACATCTAGCATCAAGTACTTAACCAAGTCTGTTGAGGAAACACATGAAATATGCAAGTTAAATAAATAGAAAGCATTTGATTTCACCATAGTCTGGAGTGAGATAGTTTGTCATAAAGCTCACTGAGGATACACAAGGACTTGGAATCAGTAGGCAGTTCACACTGGCAGGGAGAGTCTTACGTGAGACCATGTAGGAAAGTCAAGGTGGAGCCCTCGAAGACTATAACTTGGACAAGTTATTCAATCTCCGTGTTTCAGTTTTCTTGTTTATGAAATAGACTGTTGGACTAGACAATCTCTAAGGACCCTTCCGTTTCTGAAATTCTGTTTGGAAATGATTTATGAGCAAATGAGGCCCAAGTGTTTTCAAATGAGTAATTGCCAACTGAAGAGGAAAATCATTCAGACTTTAGGAAAATCATTCAAGGCTGTACCTGAAAGGCAGCAAATTGAAAATGGGTTTCAGTATGGGCAACTGTAAGATCATATGCGTTCAGAAAATAATTGGTCAAATTACACTTTATAAGCATATACTTTTAAGCTAAATTTATTATCCAAATATAAATATATTATCCAAAGGAGTCTGGTAATCATTTTATACTGTTGCCTGAGATCATGGACCTAAAAACCTAAATACCTGCTACTATTACCTCCCTAGATAAACTTACCTGTTATAAAATATGCCTTTCTTTTACATTAAGGCTGTGTCTTGTGAATTTCAAGAACAGTCCCTTCGTCCTTTCTAATCTCAGCAGCTGTTTGTCACTAATGGCAAATCAATGGCAACACAACATCCACTATCAATTCTGTGTACCACTGCTATCTTATGTTCTTCACGTCTATTAACACATTTGTTTTGACAATAATCTTGTGAGGTATGTACTATTTTTATTACCCTGTAAGGCAGCTGAGGCACAGGGAGGTTAAGTTACCTATCAAAACTAACACAGGTAGTGCTGAATAAGTAATCAAAAGTAGACTAGTAAGCATTTTTTAATGACCTGCGGATTGTGGTGCCTAAAGTAATTGGAGTAGTGAAATAAATACTTTGGAACTCTCTTGCAAGACCTATAATATAGGCCACTTTTTGATAGCAGGAGCCCTGTCTGCTCCTCCAGTCTCAGCCCAAGTCCCACATGTGCATCCTGTCCTCTGTCATCATCTGTTGCAGTTTCCTAAATGTGCCACGTCCTCTTGGGCCTCTAGGCCTTTGCAAGTACTGTTCTATCCAGCGGGACCTTTACCCTGTCTAGAGTGCCTCCTCTTCCTTCAAGATTCAGCTCAATTGTGACCTTCTCTGAACAAAAGTTTTCCCAACTCTCTTCATCCCACAGCCTCCACTCCCATCCCTCCCGCCACCCAAATAGGCCTCATTGCTGTGTGCCATTTTGTAGAAGCATACTTTGCCCAGTGCTATACCATAGCAGTCCCCAACCTTCTTGGCACCAGAAACCAATTTCATGGAAGATGACTTTTCCATGGACCGGGTCAAGGGAGGGTTTCAGGATGAAACTGTTCCCCCTCAGATCATCAGACATTAGATTCTCACAAGGAGCATGCAACCTACGTCACTTGCATGCACAGTTCACAATAGGTGCACCTACGAGAATCTAATGCCGCAGCTGATCTGACAGGAGATGGAGCTCAGGCCATGATGCACACTTACCTACCACTCAATTGCTGTGTGGCCTGGTTCCTAACAGGCTACAGACCAGTACTGACAGGTCTATGGCCCCAGGGTTGGGGACCCCTGCTATACCAGGCTCTGGAGAGAGAAAGTTGAGATTTTTGAGCTAAGCTAGGCACCTGTTATCAATGACTTTACAGGCCTATGTGGGACACAGGTACAGAGATAGTTATCACAGACTGGGTTAAGTGCTGTGACAGAAGGATGCACAGGGTGTAGAATCTAGAAGGCCTCCCAAGGGGTGACGTTGAATCAAAGGCATGAAGCAGCGTGTTGTGCTCAGGCAGGCAAACAGCACAGCACTGCCAGAGAGAGAAGTATACAGGGGGTGACAGGAAGGCACTGAGGTTGGAGAGGGCCACTGATTTGAGGGTCTGGGGGCTATGCTGAGGACCCTGGATTTAACCCTTAGCTCACAGGCAGCCACTAACATGACGTGACCAGGTTTGCATTTTTTGATAGATCACTCTGGCAGCATTGTAGAAGATGATTTTGAGGGGCCAAGGACATCAAATGGGAGTTGATTACAGCAGTGCAGAGTAGAGATTAGGACACTAGTAAGGACCGGAATAGTGGAAGATAGAGAAAAATGTTGTATTTGAGAAATCATTACAAGGGAAAATTGTTAGAACTCGAATGATTGGATTGAGGACTAAGGAAGAAGAGAATCCAAGCAGAGTTAAGAATGGCATCCAGGTTTCTGGTGAAGCTAAAGCACAGAGAGGGTGAATTTAAACTTGCACATTTAACTAACTTAGGTAATGCAGAACTAGGTCTTGTGGAGAAAGGGTTTTTTAGTTCATTTTTAGGGTATCCTGGGTGTAAATTTCCCCTAGGATGCCCAGCAGAGGTGGTTAATCACAGGGCTCTGAGGCTCAGAGGAGTGGTCAGCACCGCAGTAGTCAGCAACAGCAGCTCTGTGTGACCCCGAGCAAGTCACATCACTCTCTGTTCTGTAGTTTCTTCATAAAATGAGAGTCATAATTGATCCATCTCACACAGTGTAAAAAGGTCCTGAAACCAGTAAGTTTAAGAACCACATTTTTTTTTTCCAGTTGAAATCTTGCCCCTGTTGCCCAGGCTGGAGTGCAATGGTGCGATCTTGGCTCACTGCAACCTCCACTTCCCGGGTTCAAGCGATTCTCCTGCCTCAGCCTCCCGAGTAGCTGGGATTACAGGCACCCGCCACCACACCCAGCTAATTTTTGTATTTTTAGTAGAGACGGGGTTTCAACATGTTGGCCAAGTTGGTCTTCAACTCCTGACCTCAGGTGATCTGCCCACGTCAGCCTCCCAAAGTGCTAGGATTACAGATGTGAGCCGCCGCGCCTGGCCAAGAACCACATTCTTAAACTTTGTCTTCTTGGCTCTTCTTCAGCCAACTCCTTCAATTTTGATGTTCCCTAGAATAGCATCCGTAACCACTAATTTTCTCACCTTAAACTAGGATTTCTCAATCTTGGCATGACCAACCTTTTGGGCCTGCTAATTCTTTGTTAATGGGGGCTGTAGTCAGCACCACCGTTGTGAGTTAATGCACATCGAGTACTTAGGATAGTCCCTGGTGCAGAATAGGTACTTGATAAGTGGAATTATCACCGTAAGTCACATTAAAACCTAGATATTAGATGAATTATCTAGGAATACTATTTAGGTTAGTAGTTCTCATCCTGGGGTGATTTTATTTGACAGTATCTGAAGACATTTTTGGTTGCCACAACTTGGAAAGGGGGTGCTAGGCGTCTGAGGCCAGGGATGCACGGGGGACGGTGTCTGAGGCCAGGGATGCACGGGGGACGGCGTCTGAGGCCAGGGATGCACGGGGGACAGCCCCCACTGACAAAGAATTAGCTGGCCCAAAGGGTTGGGTCATGCCAAGATTGAGAAATCCTAGTTTAAGGTGAGAAAATTAGTGAGCTACAGATGCTATTCTAGGGAACATCAAAATTGAAGGAGCTGGCTGAAGAAGAGCCAAGAAGACAAAGTTTAAGAATGTGGTT